TGTCTGGCTTAGGATTCTTCTACAGTAGGTTTGTGTGACTTGTTAGCGACAACTTCAATGATGAATAAACAGCACACACTTTACTTGTTTTCAAATAATATACATATATTCGGAACAATATATGTACAACAAAGTCTTCACACTATAGAGATTACAGGCATATCATAAACATTATTTATGTATGTTTCTCTTCTTGTTGTCAAAAGTCCACTTAGGCCTATTCAATTGCTTTAGAATTTCAGTTGACAAGTCGAACTATCTTGTCTATACTATTATTGTACCAGTATTATGTGTGTGATTCACTTACAGTTGTGGCGTAAGTTACCTTAATTTGTTTGGTTGTCTTTCATCTGAAGATCCTCTATTCCTTTTGTCAAAGTGTACCCAGGCTAATACAATTACTTTAGAACCACGCTTTGACGGAATAAAATTATCCTTCTTTTCTTTTTTATACTATTAGTTTCACTAACATACTAAACATTAGGCCTATCACATCTACGGTACTTAACTTCACACAACTATATTCTCTTTTGTTATTATCTGTCTATTGTTGTCTGTCTTCCTGCTCATCTCACACTATTTATATCTTTATTACATAGTTGTCTGGTCACTTTCTATATTCTCAACACCAATTAGTTATTAACAAAACATTCTAAAATCATTTGCCTTTAACTATTATTATAATAAAACTTAAAAATAATAAAATATAAATTAATTAAACCAAACGGTCTTTTATATCATGACAATACTAATCATGTATCCCGAACCACTTTTATTTAAGTCATCCACCAATATCTTTAGCGGGTGAGGCTCACAGCCAAAGGAATTGATACACGACACTTGTTGACCTCATTCCAAAACTGTTGGTGATGGGGCACTTGAACATTCCAGAGAAAAGCTGATCAACATCATTACATGTAGAAATTAAAATTCCTTGTTTACAACATTCATTGCCCACAGTGTTTCTGCATCTTGCCAGGTTTGCTTGAAGATGAACAATTTTACTAAAGTTATGGGTCTGGGATGTAGATGCAGAGGAAGCAATTTGTGATGGTGCATTCTTATTGCAGTCTCTTTGCTGTTGTTTCCTCTGCTTACCATGGTTGGTTGAGACTCGACAAAATTAATTTTGGTCTTTTATACATGTGTGGACCTTCTGGTGTGTTGTTTTAACTGGCAAAGCCCTGAGTTTTCAAATGAAAATATTTGTTACCAGAGTATGCAAAAAACTTCCAAACTGTTCTATTCTGATGGTACCACAGACCAATTTAGTATACACTAATAAACTGTAATTGCTGAAGATATACAGCATAAGTGAAATACACACACACACATATATGTATCTAACTTAAATTTTCAATGTCTAGCCCTAGTTGAAAATCCAAATCCTTCAGACTTTAATTTTCAGATACTCTAATAAATTTTAATAGATACAACTTATTCTTACTCATTACAGATAGCAGAAAGGAGTAATGAAATATAACATTTTAATTACATAAAGATATACAAATATGATATGCTACAACTTTTATGATTCCTATCATAGTGATGAGCTAAACAGGTACATGAAACTTTCCCTCACTAGTAGGGAGAGTGAAAAAAAGTATAAGAAACAGTCAAAGTACATGACAGAATATTCAATACTTTTTTTTGTCCTTATTCAAAACTTTATTATTTTGGGCAGATTGAGTTTGAAGTATTATTAGTTTAATTGATTTTTGACCAGCTTGCAAATACATGTAATTTCAAACTGGAATAATTTCAAAATCATAATTGAAGTCATTGAAAAAACTTTAAAATTGTTTCAGAATCAAAACTTATACATTTTTGACAAAAATCATTTCAAAATAAACTGTGAATTTAAGCAGTTTCATAGTCAAGCTTGAAAAATCATTTTTACACATTCCCTAATTAGTTTTTATTCATTGAGAATTTACCCTAGACTGAAGTATTTGTATCTATGTTTCACTTGTGCCTCAAATAAAGTTATTCCATGACAAGCCAACATATATTTCCCTCATGTTTTGCCAGCACCTTTTAACTTAATATGCACAGCTCTGGGAAAAAAGCTTAAACTACTTGATATTTCAACAAAGCCAAGCCTTGAGAAAAAAAATATACATTTTGTACTTAAGGGTAATAATTACAAATAGTGTAAAACTGTGAAATTTAGTGCCATTAGAAGCAGTGCCAATATGAAAAGTACATGAACTATAGTACCATTAAATATTAAAAAATATTTGGTGACAATATAGGGGACATTGTCACATAGGGGTTTATAGAAAAAGGAGATAACTTAGGACAAAACATAGGGTTAGTCAACTGGTGTAGCTCAACTTCCCAGTTACTAACCTTTTCTTGTGTTGATTTTACATACTTCTCAAACTTATATGAAAAATCTTCAATAGAAAATTATGTATCTCATATTGATAAGTACACAAACAATGAATCTACAAACCTTCTGTCACTTTGTCTCCTAGCTTTCAATTGAATCTTTAATAATCAGAATTATCTTCTAAGAAAGTTTATTACATTAATTTACTTATGGCTTCACATGTACTTCATTCTTTCTGCTATGTTTTCAGTAAAATGTAGCTGTTGGAAAGAATATAAAAATTTGACTTCAAGCATATATAAGGTTAGCTATCCAATTATTTTTACATTAATGAACACTAATGTTTTGTAATGTGCTTTCCCTTAAGTACTTACATGGGATTCATAAGACCCCAAATAATAATAATAACAGCTCCCAAATTTATAAAGTCTGCAAATAAAATTTTTCCTCTGGTGACTTTTTTTGAAAAGGAATGGAAAATTTAAGGTTTCTTCAAGATATTTTTTTTTATCATTCTTTTCTTCTCTATTTGCAATGACTTGAACTAGCAAAGGATCCATATGAATGCAATGCAAGTTCTTAAGGATTAATACAATAAATTACTGATTTATGATAATAATAAATTTCCAGACCTGTATCTGTAGCTTTAAGGAGCTAATGAACAAGAAGTGTATTAAATCAATTACTTTTATTAACATCAATGACATGGTCATTTTATACCTCCTTGGCATCTGTGAGAAAAATAGTACGGGACTTTAGAAGACTTATTCAATGCAATAAGTGTTCTTCAAAAAAAAACTTACATATATCAGCAAATCATCTTTGTTTCCTTTTTATGTGATGTTTAGATTTTTGACATAATATATTTTTCAGTATGATATTCAATTAATGCATACATCAAAAGGATCAACCCATACAATTAAACACAATAGTGAAAACAAATGAAACAAAATATATATATATAT